TAAAGAAGGCGTAATTTACTGCCATTCCATGACATAGTGAATCTACTTAATCTGTTGCCATTGTCCACTAGAGGCGTCGAAGGGAAGTCATGTCCAACCCTGGTTCGACACAGTGCTTCGAGACATGGACGCGGTTCTTTGGCCTTCGGTATTCGGTTTCCGTCTCTGGGTGGAGTTGCCCAAATCCGCTGCGACAAATAGTCACACGTGGAACGGTACAATATGCCACATCGTCGAGGTCGGCTTGGTCAGACATGAAAACTGTACCAATTACCTTAGCACATCCCGATCGCAACTTACTTGTACTTGTTACGTCTGTGATCATGCCTGATCTAGCCGGCCTCAATGAAATCACGAACGGTTCTTCTCTATGCGTGAGGATTGGCGGCAGCGGATTCAGAAAGCTCCACCCAGTTTCTTCTCCAGCGACGGAGACCTAAGATGGAAGACCTAAGAACTGTTTCCATGTTTTGACGGACGATGTCGAGCCAAGTCTACAGTTGCCATCTTCGACGTTTCCAGGTGGGCTGCGGCGCCGGGTCGAGGGCAGCACTAAAGCTTGAGACTAGCAGCGCAATATAATCGACGTAGTCAAGATCAGTTAGTCGGCGTCCGGGTGTAAGCTCAACACCGTTCTCTTTATGTACGACCTTGCCGAGAATCCAGTCAATGACTTGGTCAAACAGAATGGGCGAAAGGGCACAGCCCTGTCGGACACCAGACCGGATATCGAACGACTGACAGAGATTTTTGTGGACCAGAAGTCGTGCGGCGGTAGACCGATAGTAGGCCTTAATCATGGCAATGATTTTGGTCCACATTCCATCCAGATCCATTATTCGCCACAGGGACTCACGATGGATGGAATCGAATGCAGCGGCAAAGTCGACGAAAGCAAACGGCCGTCGGTTGCTGGTAGCAATGGCGGAATTCTAGAATGTGTCTCAGTGTAAATATTTGATCCCCAAGAAACCTCATGAGTGTAACTGACCGCACAATAGGCCCGTGGCCAAATGGTAGACCTCAATGGAAGAATCCACATTACTATCCCTCCCCGCACTCTGGCAACTCGAGCAGCCGTCCCCGTAATCAGCCAACAGACGTGGTCAACGCGAAACCGCGTACTGTGAGTATCCGCGCAGCCAGATTAACAGGCTTATAGTGTAACAACTGCTTTAACAAAATTGCTCTTAACTATTTTATAGACAGCGGCATCTTTCGCAACGCATTAAGTGAACTTTAGGGACACTGAGGTCTACAGATGTGTCTGAGAGGAACCCGTCTAACTGCGTCCGACTAAGTACATAATTTACGATATACCAGAGCCAAAAATAGATGTGTCGTCATATCAACCGTGTGAATTCGCGTTTTAACTCACTGCATCAGCCAGGAATCATGCGGTAGACACACAATAGGTTTCTGTCCAGCCGATACTTTTTAACGACAAAATGTCTGGAAATGGATAAGAACTCTTGTGATGCCGACTGAATAGTATCTCTGCTCTGACGCGCAAATGTCTGCCGTCTCAAGTAAGAGCAAAGAGACAACAGGGCTAAAATGTTTCTGTTGCGAAATGTTTGGATTGCTATGATATGAATACAGACAGGTGAAACTGTTATTGCTCTGAGATACCCACTAATAAGGCCAACAAGTCACAATTTAGACATAATAAAACACTCAACTCTAGACTAATCTATTTTCTCCAGATTTGAACACAACCTTTTTAAAAAATCTAAAAATGCAATGCAATTTGCGGTTAATGAATAAGGGCGGACATGTTCGACAATCCTTTTAGTAGA